CCATAATATAGGGACTTAAATGTGAAAGGCAATATTCTTAAAATATTTCAAAGAAAATATAAGAGACTATCTTTATGCCACTGGGGTAAGGAAAGATTTACTAAACAAGATCGCAAAGTACCAACCACTCAAAGGTATCTAAAAAATAAAAATTAAAAAAAAATTTTAAAAAATCACTGCCCCCCTCCACTTCTGTATATCACACCTTTGGAGGAATAGAATCAAAGGGAATCATGTTCACATAAGGATAATCAGCATAGTTCATGGTGAGGGGACTGGAGATCTTCTTACATATAGAATGGCTACATAAACTTGGGATTTTTAATTTTTTAAAAAAAGAGAAAGCACAAATTTATATGGCAAACAATAACCGCCTTTCTGAAAGCTTGATGTACGCTGGAGGACAGGAACTTATCACCACACACCTCCAGTTTTCTCTCTTCTCTTGGGAGGTACCAGTATGGAAGGAACTCTTTGGGTTTCTCTCTTCAGCCCACCTGTCTTCCGTAGAGGAGAAGAGGAAAAAGAGGCTCAGGCATGTGTAGACCCTGAACTTGTGGGCTTTAATCTTTCAGAGTTCATAGGGAGTTCTGTTTGCCCCTACAGGAGGAGGTGGTAGATAAACATACAGAGATGCTTCTCTGCCCTTCAACAAACTCAGCCCAATTCAGAGGAAGGCGGTGGACGCCAAATGTTTTCAGGGCAAAGCCCCAATTTTACCCACAATAATGTGGAACTTGCAGTGATATCTAACCTGTATGTATATTTCCAGTTGGCTCAAAACCAACAGGGAAAAGGTTATGAGTAATAGCCACATGATCACCACCCTTAAAACCGCAACCAGACTTGTGAGTTATGTTTATACATCCTTCCTTGAACCTGGAAAGGATTTTTAACAACCCGCCTCTTAGGAGTGGTTGTTTAACCACTTAGGAGTTCTCCAAAGCAGAACTAAGATAAATAGGTATAACTTATAAACAGAAACATTTCCATTTGAACTTGTTAATATGAAACAACTTTCTTGTTAATATAAAAGAATACAATAATTGGTTGGTTCAAGTGTAGTTAAGTTTCCTGGCAAATTTCTGGTAGAAGCCACCAACCCACAGAAACAGTAGGGAATATTCCTGTAGGATCTGCAGCCTCTAATGTCCCTTCTGACTGTAAGAGTCAATGAAATAAAAGAAATGCAGACTTAAAATAGAGCTTGGTCATTTAAGGTCTTAAAAAACAAGAGCAATGCTGGTGATTTCTGACCAATATTCTTGAATTGCCAAGTAACTTTTTCAAAATTTTTATGCTATTTCCTATAATTTTTGCCATCAGAATCCCATAGGACTCTCTTTCTGACATAAATTTTGAAGTGCATCAACCACAAAAGCAAGACAATTTCTCACAGAGAAGAATGGTCTTACCTGGAGAATTAATCATCACTTAAAAAGGGTCTGGAGGCTGACTCAGCCGCCTTTAGATAGAGCAGAAGGCAGTCTGTATATGTAACTCATTTTATCCGTCTTTCCCCCAAACTCCTATCTTGCTTTGTTTTTCTGTCAAAAGCAGCGTCCTGCTTTTCTTTTTTGAAAACTGCCCCTTATAAGAGAGTGGGTTGATAGCACAGTGGGTGGGTCTCCTGCTTGTCTGAATAGTAGGGTCACCTGGAGAGGTTTTGCAATTTCAATGATCAGGCCACACCCCAGACCAATTAAATTAGAATACCAAGAGATGGAGACCAGATATGCATGTTTCTTTTTAAAGTTCTCCAGGTGATCCCACTTCTCGGACAAGGCTGAGACCCACTCTATGAGCAAACACTAGCAGTTCCCAAACTTGAACCTGCATCAGAATCATCTGGAGGGCTTGTTTGTTAAAACAGACTGCTGGGCTGCACCCTGCTGGGTTTCTGATTCAGCAGGTCTGGAGTAGGGCTGAGAATCTGCATCTCTAACAAGTTTCCAGGTGATTCTGCTGACCACACTGGGAGAACCATGGGAATACACAGCTGTGTGGACTTTAGCCTATTTAGTTCTCAAGTAGGGAAGTTACAGAATAAAAACTGAGTTGGTTGGTGAGGTTGCCATGGTGAGGTGGATCCCCCCCACCCCACACTACACACACGAGTCAATAAAAAATGATGCCTTCTAATTCGAAAATATACGTGTGCCCCATGTTCATAATAGTACTATTTACAATAGCCAAGACATGGTAACAACCTAAATGTCCATTGACAGATGACTGGAAAAAGAAATTGTGGTGTATATATACACAATGGAATACTACTCAGCCATTAAAAAGAATCAAATAATGCCATTTGCAGCAACATGGGTGGGCCTGGAGATCATCTTTCTAAGAGAAATAAGCTAGAAAGAGAAGGTATAATACCATATGATATCACTTACACGTGGAATCTAAAGTAAAAGACACAAAGGAACTTATTTACAAAACAGAAACAGACTCACCAACATAGAAAACAAACTTATGGTTACCAGGGTGGAAGAGGGTAGGAAGGGATAAATTGGAGAGTTCGAGATTTGCAGGTACTAACTACTACATATAAAATAAAGTTTCTACTGTATAGGACAGGGAACTATATTCAATATCTTGTAGTAACCTATAATGAAAAAGAATGTGACAAGGAACATATGTATGTATATGTAAGACTGAAACATGCTGTACACCAGAAACTGACAAAACATGGTAAACTGACTATATTTCAATTAAAAAAAAGAAATTTATCACAAATAAACAAAGTGAAGTAAGAAAAAAAAAAGAAATGGTTCCTTCCCTCTAGTTTGCTTTTCCCCTACTTTTAAATAGTTTGTGCTTAATACCCCAGGAATTCTCAGCCTAGAGCTCACTTTTAAAGATTTTAACATAGTATAGTTATAGCCAAAGGAGGTCCAGAAGGCTTTGCAGAGTTCCAACAGCCCTGATAGAAACAGATTTTTTTAAAAAACCAAGTCAAATATAAAACCCACATCATCTCTTTAAGGGGGAGAAAAAACATACATGTATATATACACATCCATATATATACACAAATATATTTATTTTCTTTTTATAGTAATATTTATAACAAACATGATGAAACCAAGGTTTTTAGGTGCAATATTTAACCTGGCCATTTTCAGGCAAGCCAGGTCGCTGCGGTTTGAGACAGACAAGTTCACAATGCTCCCAGGAATAGATCCCTCTCCGCCCATCTCCCAGGGTATTCGGGAACTCTGTCTGAAGGAAAATTCAAGGTGTATCTGCTATTCCTATCTGTTTCAAAGCCTTGATAATCTTTTAGTGTTTTGGAGGTTTTGTTATTGAAGAACAGTGGAAACAAAAAAATTAAGTTACTCCTGCTAAATTTGTACAATCAGTCTCAGCAACCTGGCCACATCCTTGAATCTATCTATCTTTTCAAGCAGTCCTGGCCTCAAGTTTCAGATTTATGCAATTTCCCTGGCTCAGACAATCTGCAGGCTGTTTCAATATCAAACTCAATGATGAGAGTGCCAAGACTATTATTTTCTTTAAATTCAAAGGGAAGACTTCCATTTTTTTCTACTTTATATTCAGCATTTGCTACCACATTCTCAATGTCTTCCTTGCCTTTCACAGCCTACTTTCAAGTTGGGAGTGAGAAGCTAATGAAATTCAGGAACAACAACATAAATGCAATCTCATCCCGGAGGAAAAATGCAGTCCTTCATTTTGCCTAAGATTGAAACCCTCAACTCTGGTCCCTTGAAAATGTGCTTCCAGACTATCTTCATCATCACCCTCATTCTATTCTGGGTAAAATGAGGAAAGATGTGTGAAATACTTAAGAGAGCTCAGAGCACTGTACAAGTCTGAGGGTTGGTTATTATTATACCCAGACACAGGGTGCTACTCAGGCGTGTGATCCTCTTCCTCGATGACTCAACGGTTGACAAGTCTTCTTAACAACTCGTCGAAGAGTAGTAATTAGTCATCTTTCTGGCTCTCACCCTGGTACTGCATGGAGTTGGGTGGGATGCGGGGGTGGGGAGGAGTCACATGAAGACTTAAAACTAAGTACTGATTCATGATCTTTAGAGTATCAAACCAGAATTGAGCCTTACTACATTGACCTCATATTCACCTGGACTGGGCTAGAGGAGTTTTTCATTTAAGGCCTGAACCTAGCTGGACTCACAATCAAATTTCAAGGTAGGAGTAGGGACGTTGAATTCAACTCTCTCAATTTACACATGGGTCAAAGAAATCCAGAGAACTGACTTGCCCAGTGTTTCACAATGACTCAGGACCAAGCAGGAAGTCTATCACAGTCCTGATGCAGCTTCATATGGAGAATCATACTGTCTGGAGCTAAACCACACTGATCATAGCCCCAGTGATTAGTAGATGAGTAGATGGACAGAAAGATTCATTTAACACAGTATTTAGGGATGTCCATAGGAAGCTGGTCTAAACATTGAGGATTCTGTTGACATGCCTTTTGAAAAGTCTGCAAAGTATTTCCATCTGTGGTAAAGTAGTCCTTGTACCCATTAATAATTCACAACTCAGCTCAGCAAATTGAGCAGAGAACAAACCTTATCATTAGTGCAAACTACTACTGTCAGCACTAATGAAAGTAATTAACATCGATGTTTAAGTTTTTTGCTTACTGAGTAATTGGCAAGGGATTTAAAAAATAACTTCATGAGGAAATTAACCAGCCATCCCATAACTCTGTACTTTCGTTCCATTGTTTTAAACATCTTAATTGCCAGGAAAGCTTAACCACACAAAATGGGGGGGAAAAAAAAGAAAGAGGTTAGGAACTCTGGGAGGGTGGTTCATCATTTTCTGCAGCTTACTTTTTTCATTATAATACATTTTCCATTTTTAATTAAATGAATAAAATAGCTGTATGGCCTGTGAGATTATATACAATTGCCAGATAAAGCTGCAGATATCTCTCTCCTTAATGTGCTTAGAGAAGACAGCTCTGCTGCCTTTTAAATAGACACATTTTCTTCACTTACCTTGTTTTGAATTTGTGCAGGCTTATAAAATCACAACAGATGTTTCCTGTGGGTACCAGGTACCAAATAAATTATACATCAGTTTCCCGTTGGTTTTCTTTCTTAGCAGTCATCAGATTCTTTTGAACTCAAAGTTGGGTAAGACAAAATCAACTCTATTTTCAATCTTCTCTACTCCTGCATGGAGAATGAAGGCCAAGTCAATGATAGTAACCTGGACATTAAGAATTTAAAAAAAAATTTTTTTTAAAGGAGAAAGTTGACTACCTCCCATTAACGTTTAAACAGTAATACACCAATACACCAATGGGCATTTACTGTGTCCTGAGCACTAGGAAGGATACAGAATGATGAGACATGATCCTTAAATTCAGGGGGCTACCACTGAAGGTAGCCAAGTTAAACATAAGAGTAATATGCTGAGGAAAATGGTAGAGTTCCTCTCTCTGGAGTTGGGAAAGCATTTTCAGTAGGGAGGGAAATTTGTTATAAACAAGATGGCCACTCAAGTTTCCTTAAGTCCTATGGATCAGATTTTATCCAGTTCAAAGTTGTAGGGATGTAAAATAATTGGCAAAAAACACCAAATTTTCAGCAGTGATTGCATGAGCTACAAGAGATTACTTTGGAATAGGCTCTGCCATGCCAGGGCATCATGAAAATCATCAGGTATAATGATCACATTGGATAGAGAGGGAGAGAGTGAGAAGAAGTCAAGGGTGAAGTCCTCAATGACTCTCCAAGAGGTCTGGAGATGACAGTACAAAGAAAGGGGTCTCAGCAATAACCGGTTGGCGTGACCCTGGTAGAAAGAGTGGTTTCCCAATAAGAGCAAGGGTGCAATGGCCAAGCTACCTCTAGGTCCTGGGTCCTGGTGGGGCAGTTATAACTAATGGGCGCCTGTGTGGCTGCCGTTTCAAGGAGGAGGAGGAAGAGGAGTAATTGTGTAACTAGATTGAGAGTATCCATTTACAATGAAACCGAGGGCAAGAGGGAAGACTGAGAACTATTAAATGGTGAACCAGCAGGGGAATGGGAAACTGAGGACCAGGACAGTCCCAGACTGGGTAAAGGTAATACCAGAGGATGGAGAAGTGGGGCTTGCACCTTTGGTGAGTGAGAAGCAAAATTTCTGGAACTGTAACTATGAAGCTACCCAACGGCCCCTCCTCTGCACTCCCTAACTACCCAAGCCTGGAAAGGCTCAGGTCCCAGTTTAGAGAGAAGTGATAGTCCACAAAGACTGATAAAACTAAGCATTGAAAACTTGTCTCCAGTATGTCTTTATTATCCTAGAGGCCTCAATAAGTGTTTACAATTAGAGTGTATCTTCAAAACTGTTTGCATCTTAGCCCGAGGAACACACACGCTTATTACTTTTCCACTTCACTGTTTGGGCAACTCCCCTCCCCAAATCTAAAGAGCCATCATCGTTGTCATTTATTACTATAAATATGGTGATGATGTGAGAGCTTAGAAATGATCAGTGTTGGTCTAACCCAGGTTTTGCAAGCATGGCTCTGGCCCATCCCTGTCACTTCTAAAATTGCTTACCTCTACTCGGTGCAATGTGTAAATTGTCAGCTGCAGTTGGAGCAAAGAATCTTACTGCTCATCGTGAAAATTGGCTGTTCTAAAGAGCGTTCTGCAAGGCAGCTCTTTTCTAAAAGTGGCCCATTATTTCTTGGATTTTTAACCATCATGTTCTAGCAAGTCTAGGAAGGAATAGGCCACGGACTGGGTGTGCAGAGCTGAGGACAGCCTGGCCCCCTTCCCATGTCTTTCCCTGGCCACCACAGCTGATGAACTGAGCTAACAGCACAGGCCAAAGGCTCTCCTACTTTCTGACACATACTTAGGTTTGGGGTCTACTGGCCCAGACCCAGTAGCTGGGCTTCTGTGCCGCAACTGGGATTTCCTTGACCACCAACCATACCTGCTATCTTCTATCTTCCCCACCAACCCAAACCCAGAACAATATCTAAGCACACCTGTGACCTGACCCACAGCATCCCTGACATCACTCTTATTTTCCCGGGGACCCAATCTGCTTCAATCTCCTTCCTTCACTTTCACTGTCAACACCTTCCACTCTAGAAGACCCAGGCCAGGAAAAATACAGGATCTGCACCTGAGACTGAATGTCTCCTTGAATTTTGCACTCTGGGCACCTCTCTTGTTTTACCTTAGTCCTAGCCTTGAGAAAACCCATCCTGATCTATAGCTCATTTGGCAGGATCTCTATGTCCTGTGTATTGTTGTTACTCTGTAACAAACCACTCCCGAAATTCAGTGGCTTAAAATAATAACCATTTATTTATATCAACTCAGGAGATTGGCAACTTCGGCTGGGCTCAGTAGGACAATTCCTCTGGTCTCAGCTGGGCTCCCTCAAGGGACCTCGCTTAGCTATGGGTGGGCTTGGGGGCTCTACTTGACTGGTTGTTGACTGGATTGCCTCAGATTGCCTCCACAAGGTCTCTCATCCTCCAATAGGGGCTTATTCTCATGGAAGGTAGGGCTCCCAGACACAGAGAGCAGAAGTGCACAAAACATACTGATGCCCAGGCTCAGAGATGACACACTGCCTTATCTGCTGCATTCTGTTGGCCAAAAAGAATCATGAGGCTAGCCCAGATGTGGGAAATTACCTCTACCTGTTAATGGAATAAGCTACAGAGTCATAATGCAAAAAGCTTAGCTACAAGAGTGGGTGAAGAATTGCAGCCATTTTAATCCTCAACCTACCACACCTTGCCTAGCTTCACTCTGGCCCCTCTCCTCCAGGACTGGCCCCTATTTTCAAACCCTAAGCCCACTAAGTATGATTCCATTGCATATGGATAGGTATCTAACAAACAGGGTAATATCTAACCACCTGCCAAGTTTTCAACAGCCATCTGAATTCCTAACTACCAGGTCTATACATGTCTATGAATTCAATGATATCAAAACTTCTAGAAGTTGGACTGAGATAACATTCCTTTGGCAGTGTTCCTAGATTGATATACTGTCTCCAAGAGGCTGGCCTTCATGTCAATTTCAGTTTCATCATCTCCACCCCTACTCTGTCCGTGCCTTCTCTTTTTTATACAGTCTCTCCTCCTTCCCCTGAAGGACTCCAGTAACAAACAAAGCCTTACACCTGAGTCTTCCTGAATGGCAAGAACTGTGAAAACTTCTTATCTGAATCAGTGGTTCTCAAACGATAATCTCTTCAACAAATGATGCTGGGATAATTGGATATCCACATGCAAAGGAATGAAGTTGGAGCCCTATGTCATACCACATATAAAAACCAACTCAACATGGATCGAAGACCTAAATGTAAGAGCTAAAACTATAAAACTCTCAGAAGAAAACTTAGGGGTAAATCTTCATGACCTTGGACTTAGCAAAGGATTCTTTGATATGACATAATAGCACAAGCAACAAAAGAAATATTAGATAAATCAGACTTCGAAATTAAAAACTTTGCTGCATCAAAGGAAACCATCAAGAAAGTGAAAAGACAACCCACAAGATGGTACAAAATATGTGCACATCATGTATATGGTAAGAGTCTGGTATCCAGAATATATAAAGAACGTGTACAACACAACAGCAAAAAGACAAACAACCCAAGATGAAGTGGCAGTGGACCTTCGTGAATGGCTAACAGCCCCTGCACAGGAGTTAAAAACCTGTCTTGGGGGTAGGTATGGCTCAGTGGTGGAGCACATGCTTAGTATGCACAAGGTCCTGGGTTCAATCCCCAGTACCTCTATTTAAATAATTAAAAAAAAAAAGAACTTGTGCCTTGCTTGGGGCTGAGTCCCCAGAGTTTTCCTAGGAAGCCTAGATTAAACTGAAGATCAAAGTAGACAGGGTGAGTTCTTCCCTGTGCTAGACTGCCTGCTGTGGCCCCATTTCATCACAACTTTCTGCATCCACACACTTGCCACAGCCTCATCATGAGCAGAACTTACTTCTCTCCACCTTTCCTGACATTCTGGCCACGTGACTTGCTTTGGCCAATAAAATGATGCAGCAGTGACAATGTGCCAGTTCCAAGCCTAGGCCTTAATGTAACTTGTGTACTGACACTTCTCTTTTGTCTTTTTGCAATCACATTGTGAACAACATGCCCAGGCTGGCTCACTGATCCCAGTAGGACAAAGAGAGACACATAGAGCAATACCAAATTGCCTCAGCTAAACCCAGCCTAGATTAACCAATCTCTGGTCAACCCTCAGATTTGTGAACTGAATACTCACTTTTTGTTTGCTGAGATTTTGTGGTTGTCATGCAGCATTACTGTGGCCACAGTTAACTGCAACACCACCCCAGCCCCATCTCACCACAGTCACTCATTGCAGGGCCAACAATACCCTTAGATATGCCAGGCTGGGGACAGCGCTTTCAATCAGCATATTCAAGCTAAGTGTCCTGCTGACTTTCAGGTAAAGCCTAATGTGGGCTGAATTCTAGAATCCATAGATGCCCAAGAAAGAAGACAAACATTCCTCCTTGCCAGCTGATTAAGTACACGATGCGGCTAACTGCATCATATCCCAAACCTCCGAACTCCTAACACATTCCACAGAAGAAGCAGATGTCATCTTGACAGGATTTCTTTGTTTTCTCAATAGATGCTACAAGAGCTGCCCATGTTCTCTAGAGCAAGCAATTTATCAAGAGATCAAGATTATTCACTGTGTTTTATTAATACATTTTATGCAGTCATACTGATTTCAAACAAAGTTATCTTCTATCTAATTGTTTTTGCCTCTAATCTGACGAGAGCATTATTTGAGAACAATTGTATCACTCCAAAACTTATCTTGGGTATAAAATGTAAAGAGACAACACAAAGTGCTTCTGCCTATAATGAAGTGTCAAAAACTTCCTGAGTCTGACAGCTTTACCTAGATATTGAAAATAACACTGTACCTTTCCCTGCCTCTGTAATACCATTTTTTTCTTTTTTAAGCAGGAAGACATTAGGTGCCACGGAATTCTCAGAAGAGTAGAGTATACAGTAAAACCAGCTGCTAAGGGGCCAAATCTTTTCCCAGCAGGCAGGTAGCGTGTTCAGGTGTACCCAACATGATCGCCTCTGAACTGCCCTCACCCTCCCCATTTCTACAACCAAAGTCTCTCCCTCTTTGTGAAACCACTTTTACTTTGTGAAA